CCTTCCTTCCTTCCTTCCTTCCTTCCTTCCTTCCTTCCTTCCTTCCTCCCTCCCTCCCTCCCTCCCTCCCTCCCTCCCTCCCTCCCTCCTCTTTCTGAAGCTTATATGTGTAATTCAAGGATGGCCAATATTTTTAAAAATGTAGTTTGTAACTTCTCACAAGTTTAGGTTAGAAAATCTGAACTGTAACCCAGATTCAACATGTTTAGAGTGGATTCCTCCTAAATAGCATGACTGAAACTTTGCAAGTAATAAATATATGGCGCGTATAACTATTTCAGGTGCTTTGTTATCAGTAGAGTAAAGCTGTCTGTTGAAGAAAGAAACAACTTGTTTTAAGTATTACTGCAATAACCTCTGCAGGAGGTGGGGGCAGCTATTTTAATGTCCACACAAGCAATACTATTGAAAGAGAAACACAAAGTAATAAACATTCAAGAGTTAAAGATCTAGTTATTAAGCAGAGTGATTTATACACTTTATCAGAAAACACTGAAAAATCTATGGCTGTTGCTGTTCCTTAAAGCCCATATAATGAAATGCACTAATCCAAGGATTAAATTAGATTATTTCATATCAGAACACTAAAGTATAAAAGTTCCTCATTAATGTTGTTTTTGTCCTTATAATGGTAGTCGGCTGACATTTTGTTCACAATATTAAAATTCACATTGTCACACTAGATGGCATCACTTTGAAACTTTGATCTTGAAAAGTCAGTCTTGGTTATTATCTGGGTTGGAGAATTCCTAGAGCTGTAAGATGAAAAGTAAGTAAGTCTCTCTCTCTCTCTCTCTCTCCCTCCCTCTCCCTCCCCCTCCCCCCTCCCTGTCTGGCAAACCATTTTTTCATTAATATTATTATTAGTTCATTGCAATTGTCATCCACTGTCAGCCAATGTTCAGACTAGATTTGCCATTTTTTTCCTGTTACCCTAACTCTAACCCTATTTTAAGGACCTGGGATGTGGTTATTTGAAGCTCTTAAATCGCAATGTATAAGCTATTCTGAGCAAGCTGCCTTTTGCAATTGACTGATGGCGATTTTGTCAAGGCCAATGGTGGTGCTCCAGATGTTTTGGGGTTACACCCAAGGTGCTTGTTATTATTGGTATTATTTTTGTTTTCTTTGTCATAATCGTTCTACTTCTATTGCTAGATTTCTGTGTTTTGTTATTTTTTCCCAGTTCTTTCTCTTTTTATTCTGCTATCTCCAGCTAGGGCCACATGGACCCTTTTATTTATTTATAATCTGTCTTTATTTTTTTACAAATAGCTCAAGACAGCAAACATATCCACTACACCCTTATCCTCTTATTTTCCCTGGTGAGGTGAGGTGAGAGAGTGACTGGCCGAAAGTCACCCAGTTGGCTTTTGTGACTAAGGCAAGACTTGAACTCATGTTTTCCCTTTTTTAGACTGATGCCTTAAAACTACGTATCAAAGAGCTCTTATTTTGTATTGCTTTGATGATTGTTTGACATTTTCTCTACTCTTGGATTTAATAAGGATCTGTAAAATTCCTAGAAGAGTCAAGGATATTTGCTGTCTCAACACTAATTTATTAATGTACACATTTTGCTGCAGCAGTTTTATTATCTATAGCAACCAATAGTTTTTCTAACGTTAGTGATAGTCATAATCCTTTTCAATTTCCTTCCCTAAAAACCTTAATTGTCCTGGACACGCACACAGATGTTTCCTGTATCTGCAAGTATATTTTTAAAAATGAAAATAATATACTCTATATGGATGTCTGTACTTCCAAGATTTTAAAATATTACAGCTGC